TTGTTCATGGGTGCAGCTCCCCACTGGCTTCAACCACCTCCACTAGTATGGACTCCAACAGCTTTACTGCCAGAGTCCCTGAACACTAGTTTCCTCTTAACCCCTGCATCAGATCACCAGTGTGCCCTACCAGTCAGACACTGGCCATGGGCACTAGCTCTGAGAACACCACCAAAGACTTAAAGGAAAAGAAAAGTTGTGGAAGAGGCAGAAAATGAAAGAAACGCCCCTTTACTTGTGGTGTGACCATGTTCATTATAATCTCAAAGGAGAAGGAAAAAAAAAAAAACAGAAAAACAATTTATTCTGAGTATTCCAGTAACTTTTTTTGTGCTTATACTTTAATTGTAGTATAAGTAATTGGTTTGTATGAGGTGATTTAAAAGGCCAAAGATAAAAAGGTTTCCTTTTTTTGTCTGTGAACTTGCTGTTTATATTTTTGGCCTTTTTAATGTATTTGTGAAACAAAGTTGTCCAACAATAAACCAGAATTTTATTGGAAAAAAAAAAAAAGAACTGAGAATTCTAAGCATGCTGTCATGGAGATTCCTTGTGTTCTTCTCTCAGCTGTATGTTTTTCCTTACTCTGTAGTCACTGACCATCAAGGAAACATGTATTCCCTTCTAGATGTGCTCTATATGTTATTGTTTAATCTTAATTTGCCTTTACCATTATATTTTAGGTATATTATGAATTAAATGGGTTTGAGGGGTTTAGCTTGGGATCTTACTATTTTATTAGGTTGTTTACTTAATAAAATAGTAGATCCTGATCTACTGGAGACACTGATTTAGGCTTCATAGTCTGAGCTCCCTTTCATCTGGTGTCTTGTTTGGATGACAAATTATATGGTTCTTCTACTCTTGCGGAACTCCATTCTGAGTGCTAGGCAACTAAGAGCACATCTTGGAACACCATTTTGTAAGTTGGAGACTTTAAAAATCTGAAACTAATGGGTGTGTCCTTTAAAGTTGGACATTATTTTAATCTTATTTGAACTAAAGAATGTGTTACTAAATTGGTGGCAGCTGAGCGATCTTATGCATGTAGAGTGCCCTTTAAGGGATAGGAGAGGAAGAGAAGATGAAGTTTCCAAAACTAGTCAGTTACCTCCTCTTGTTCAAGCTTCTTTATTAAGATTCATTCCTCATTTAGACTCATTCTTCATTCAGTGGTTGAATCGTCTTTTGGACTGAGGTGAGTTCATAGCATTCTCGTAGCAGTTAGTGTCCCTACCAGATATTTGGCGCTTAGTCCAGGAATGACTGTATTTTGTGATCAATAGGATTCTATCTCCCTAGTGTCTTGGAATTTCAAGGACAAGTTACTGTTTTTGTTTTCCCCCAGCACCTATCATAATGCATTACCCTTGAGCATGGAACATACTCGTTATTTATAAAAATCTCAAGTGAGTATAGTGGCTAGGGCACTGTTTCCTTGGAGCACTAGTTCCTTGGTGCCTTAAAGAAGTTTCAAGGTCAAATAAGTTTAGAATGTATTAATTTTATTTTAGAAATTTGTAGTTAGCCTAGCAGACTTTGCAATAGCAAACCCTAACGTGGCCTAGGGTTTCCCAGACTGAACAGAGCTGAAAATGGAAGTCCTATCCCCCATACCATTTTTATTTCTCTGTTCTTTAAACATTCTACACAGTACTTAAAACTACTGGCCTTGGGCTTTAAGACTATAAACTCAGATTCATGCTCTTGTTACATCACAGCCAGGTCTTCCCTGCAGTACTTCCTAACATGTTCTGCTAATAATGCCAGTTCCAATCACCTTTCAGGAAGGCTTCTCTCCTTAGGGTTAAGTCATTTGCCCTTTTATGGCTTTTTCCAAGTCTTTTTTACCTTCCCCTCATTTTAGCATTTGGTGATGTGTTGAACTGTTTGCATGCAGATTTACACTTCTCAGACATACTGCCTCTGGGCAGCTATATGTAATAGAGCTTCCTGAGTGTTAAATGAACACAGTAACTGCTCAGGTTGTTGGTGCTTATAAGAGATGAGAACCATGACTTATGATTCAGCCAGGAACCCTTGGGAACATAATGCTCAAATAAGTCATTAATGATTAATTGCATTGCATAATGCTAAGCATAGACTTAAAAAACAGAAGTGTCACAAATAAGTGGCTGTGGTTCTTGTGTTTATTTGCTGAAGAATTCTTACAACTGGAAAACTGGATTATGTATCAGCAATTCCTACCATAGGAAACTTTATATTTTATAGTTAACAGTTTTTTTTTTAAATGGGTATTGGGGAGGGAACCCAAGGGTTTTTTACCACTGAGCTACATCCCCAGCCCTTTTTATTTTTATTATTTTAAGACAGGCTCTAAGTTGCTTAGAGCCACACTAGTTTGCGTAGGCTGGCTTTGAACTTGTAATCCTCTTGCCTCAGACTTCCCAGCCACTGGGGTTATAGGCATTCACCACTACACCTGGTTGGTTTATAGTATCTTTTGATGTTAGCAAATAAAATAACTACCCATATTTTCTTATATGAAACAGACTGACTACAGCTGTTGATCTACCTCCTGAGTTTATTCACCTTTATATATCAAATTGCATCTCTACTTGTGAACAAATTAAGGATAAATATATGCAGGTAAGTAATGGAAATTTTTATAAATTCTATAAATAGGTGCTAAGAGGATGGGCACACTAAAACTTTTTCCTTTTTCTTCCAGAATCGTTTGGTGCGTCTTGTGTGTGTGTTTCTTCAGTCCTTGATCCGTAACAAAATTATTAATGTGCAGGACTTATTTATAGAAGTGCAGGCCTTCTGTATTGAATTCAGTAGGATACGAGAAGCCGCAGGCTTATTCCGGTTGTTGAAGACACTGGATACTGGAGAAACGCCTTCAGAGACCAAAATGTCAAAATAATACCTCACCGGAACTACCCAATTTGTTGTTCAACTGTATTGATTTAAGTGGATTGCTTGGTCTTATACATATAAACAACACTTTAATCTACTTTAAAGCAAAAGTTTTGCTTTTCCTGGATGACTTTTTCCTATAGATGAATTTTTGGTAAGAACTTGGACACAAAATGTTCCAAGTGTCTTGCTGATGACTCCATAGGAGGAATAATTATCCCATATTACTGCAAAAAAAAAAAGTAGATGAGGTGTGTATTTTTTAAAAGAAATTTTAGCATTACAGAGCAAAGTGCTTGTTTTTGCTTCAAAGGCAAGCTACAGGCTCTGATAAATCAGGAACCCAGTTTTCCTAAGGTTCCAGTGTTAAAAGTATCCAATGAGAGCAAAGACATTTTGAAGAAATTTTGATACTGTCATATGGTGAAGAGCAGTTGATTGTATCTCTTAACTTCTCATTAAGCAGTATAAAACAAGGACATGCATATAACTTTGTCATGGGAACTCCAGAAGTGGCAGAACAAATGTTTGGAGGGCCTCTTAAAAACACGGGAACTCTTAGGACAACGTTATAATAGATGATATTGTTTCCTAGGTTTTTTTTCTTCGTTGAGATGTCCTCTGTTATTACCCTAAAATGCATTTTTTTGTTTTGTTTTGTATTGTTTTAAAGGAAAAACAGGGCTTTGGGAGGGAGTGTCACCCCTAGGAACTGCTGTCTGTGGCAGGGTAGATGTGTGAGATGTACCAGAGCAGGCAGTGCATGTGTCACCCCTCATGTCACTTTGGACAACAGTGCCTTCCAGTAAAGTTCTGTTTTTTTACCAACTGTCATCTGATGCATTTTTACTTCAAGAAATCATGACAAATTCCTTTTACAGAACTACTTCTAAAGCATATTTACAGGGAAACAATCTGTTCAATAGGAGTCATCCTCTAATCCAACACTTGGCAAAAGTTAAAATTTTTTTAAGAGTACAAGTTTCACACTAAGTCCATGCCTCAGATCTATACTATTAAATGAGTAGACTCACAAACAACATGAAAAAAGTGAGGAAACAAATTAACCCAAACAAACCAAGATACTCCAATAACAGAATCTATTGACACCACAGTGGAAGAAATGTCAGAGGAGTTTAGAATGTATATAGTTAAACTGATCTGCGAGAAAAGGGACAAAAAAAAGGAAGGAGTGAAATCAGGGAGAAAATATAGGAAGTGAAAGATCATTTCAATAAAGAGAGATTTTGAAAAAAAAATCAAGCAGAATCCTTGAAATGAAGGAATTAATAAACCAAATTAAAAATTCATTGGAAAGCATCACCAACAAACTAGTCCACATGGAAGACAGTTTTAGGCAATTAAGACAAAATAGATAATCTTGAAATTAAAGTAGAACATGGAGAAAAGATGTTAAAGACACCATAAACAGAACTTCCAAGAAATATGGGATAAGATTTGTTGGGATGAAGGAAATGAAAGGAAGTACAATCTTTTCAATGAAATAATACCAGAAAAACTCCCAAACATAGTTTGGGAAATGGAAAAATCAAACACAGGAGGCTTACAAGGACCCCGAATATAAAAAACTACAACAGACA